TAGTTCTGTTCTAGTTCAGTTCTAGTTCAGTTCTAGTTCAGTTCTAGTTCAGTTCTAGTTCAGTTCTAGTTCAGTTCTAGTTCAGCTCTAGTTCAGTTCTAGTTCAGTTCTAGTTCAGTTCTAGTTCAGTTCTAGTTCAGTTCTAGTTCAGTTCTAGTTCAGTTCTAGTTCAGTTCTAGTTCAGTTCTAGTTCAGTTCTAGTTCAGTTCTAGTTCAGTTCTAGTTCAGTTCTAGTTCAGTTCTAGTTCAGTTCTAGTTCAGTTCTAGTTCAGTTCTAGTTCAGTTCTAGTTCAGTTCTAGTTCAGTTCTAGTTCAGTTCTAGTTCAGTTCTAGTTCAGTTCTAGTTCAGTTCTAGTTCAGTTCTAGTTCAGTTCTAGTTCAGTTAGTTCAGTTCTAGTTCAGTTCTAGTTCAGTTCTAGTTCAGTTCTAGTTCAGTTCTAGTTTCAGTTCTAGTTCAGTTCTAGTTCAGTTCTAGTTCAGTTCTAGTTCAGTTCTAGTTCAGTTCTAGTTCAGTTCTAGTTCAGTTCTAGTTCAGTTCTAGTTCAGTTCTAGTTCAGTTCTAGTTCAGTTCTAGTTCAGTTCTAGTTCAGTTCTAGTTCAGTTCTAGTTCAGTTCTAGTTCAGTTCTAGTTCAGTTCTAGTTCAGTTCTAGTTCAGTTCTAGTTCAGTTCTAGTTCAGTTCTAGTTCAGTTCTAGTTCAGTTCTAGTTCAGTTCTAGTTCAGTTCTAGTTCAGTTCTAGTTCAGTTCTAGTTCAGTTCTAGTTCAGTTCTAGTTCAGTTCTAGTTCAGTTCTAGTTCAGTTCTAGTTCAGTTCTAGTTCAGTTCTAGTTCAGTTAGTTTAGTTCTAGTTCAGTTCTAGTTCAGTTCTAGTTCAGTTCTAGTTCAGTTCTAGTTCAGTTCTAGTTCAGTTCTAGTTCAGTTCTAGTTCAGTTCTAGTTCAGTTCTACTTCAGTTCTAGTTCAGTTCTAGTTCAGTTCTAGTTCAGTTCTAGTTCAGTTCTAGTTCAGTTCTAGTTCAGTTCTAGTTCAGTTTCTAGTTCAGTTCTAGTCAGTTCTAGTTCAGTTCTAGTCAGTTCTAGTTCAGTTCTAGTTCAGTTCTGTTCAGTTCTAGTTCAGTTTCTAGTTCAGTTCTAGTTCAGTTCTAGTTCAGTTCTAGTTCAGTTCTAGTTCAGTTCTAGTTCAGTTCTAGTTCAGTTCTAGTTCAGTTCTAGTTCAGTTCTAGTTCAGTTCTAGTTCAGTTCTAGTTCTAGTTCAGTTCTAGTTCAGTTCTGGTTCAGTTCTGGTTCAGTTCTGGTTCAGTTCTGGTTCAGTTCTGGTTCAGTTCTAGTTCAGTTCTAGTAGTTCAGTTCTAGTTCAGTTCTAGTTCAGTTCTAGTTCAGTTCTAGTTCAGTTCTAGTTCAGTTCTAGTTCAGTTCTAGTTCAGTTCTAGTTCAGTTCTAGTTCAGTTCTAGTTCAGTTCTAGTTCAGTTCTAGTTCAGTTCTAGTTCAGTTCTAGTTCAGTTCTAGTTCAGTTCTAGTTCAGTTCTAGTTCAGTTCTAGTTCAGTTCTAGTTCAGTTCTAGTTCAGTTCTAGTTCAGTTCTAGTTCAGTTCTAGTTCAGTTCTAGTTCAGTTCTAGTTCAGTTCTAGTTCAGTTCTAGTTCAGTTCTAGTTCAGTTCTAGTTCAGTTCTAGTTCAGTTCTAGTTCAGTTCTAGTTCAGTTCTAGTTCAGTTCTAGTTCAGTTCTAGTTCAGTTCTAGTTCAGTTCTAGTTCAGTTCTAGTTCAGTTCTAGTTCAGTTCTAGTTCAGTTCTAGTTCAGTTCTACTTCAGTTCTACTTCAGTTCTAGTTCAGTTCTAGTTCAGTTCTAGTTCAGTTCTAGTTCAATTCTAGTTGAGTTCTAGTTCAGTTCTAGTTGAGTTCTAGTTCAGTTCTAGTTCAGTTCTAGTTCAGTTCTAGTTCAGTTCTAGTTCAGTTCTAGTTCAGTTCTAGTTCAGTTCTAGTTCAGTTCTAGTTCAGTTCTAGTTCAGTTCTAGTTCAGTTCTAGTTCAGTTCTAGTTCAGTTCTAGTTCAGTTCTAGTTCAGTTCTAGTTCAGTTCTAGTTCAGTTCTAGTTCAGTTCTAGTTCAGTTCTAGTTCAGTTCTAGTTCAGTTCTAGTTCAGTTCTAGTTCAGTTCTAGTTCAGTTCTAGTTCAGTTCTAGTTCTAGTTCTAGTTCAGTTCTAGTTCAGTTCTAGTTCAGTTCTAGTTCAGTTCTAGTTCAGTTCTAGTCCAGTTCCAGTCCATTTCTAGTTCAGTTCTAGTTCAGCTCTAGTTCAGCTCTAGTTCGGCTCTAGTTCAGCTCTAGTTCAGCTCTAGTTCAATTCGAGATGAGTTCTTTTACAATTCTATTTTATTTGCACGGAAAACATCTTGCAAAAAACATAATAAAATTTGCTCACACACTATAAGTTGAACTAGAAAAAGGGTTTTAATAAAAACATTTTCTCAACTTAAACTTTGAAAACCATCAACCAGCTGTTGCTGTTTGTATTGTCTTCTTTTCAAAGTTCGTTTGATCTAAATTTCAGGGAAATTAAAGTTGAATGCAGGTGTTGAAACATGTCATATGTTGTCGATAATAGCACTACTGTTGTTGATGTTTTTGTTGTCATTGCTGCTGTTACTATAATAAGTTTTTGTAGTTTTTTTCTTCTTCTCTGATTGCATGTTTTCTTGTGGTCACCATAAATGTGCACTTAGAGTGAAGGTTCCATCGTACACCATGTACTTGCATTACATACATAACTTCTACGATGTACACTAATGGATGCATGCATGTATGCATTTATTTATTATATACGTCTGAATGAATATATGAATTTATATGATAATGACTTTTAATGCTTCTGGTCTCAACCATTAACTCATCCATCCATTCGTCCATGCATCCATCAAACAAATGTGAAAATTCAAAAGGGTATTTAAAGGTATGAAATCATAAACATTTGCAGCAATAACATTGCATATTTAAAGTGCAGAATTAGTAACCAAAAGATATTTTTAAAATAGTATCTAATCTTCATGAATATACATAGTTTGTAATGAAATCTAGTTTAATCTTAAATACAAATTGATCTAATTCCTTTTCGAAACTGTAACAAACACGTTTGTCGTTCATACACGTGTAAGTATGAATTGTAATTCATTTTTGTTGTTGTTTGCACCCTAAACTATAAAAGATGCATTTACACATCGTCTGTCTGTCCCTTCGTCCGCTGGTTGTTCTCAAGTGGCAAAATGGATTGCACAATCTTATTACAGTTTTTTTTTTAACTCAAAATTTTGTTGTTGTCTTAAACACATTTGAACACTTTTTTCCATATTTTTTATTCAAACTCATGCAAGTGCCATCATTTTTAATATTATCTGCCTGTGAAAAAATATTGATGAACCTAGTGATGTGTCTGTTACAGAAATATGATGTAAACCACAAAAACAACATTTGCAATAATAATAACATTAAGATATTAAAAAAACTCAACTGCTAAAGCTTGATGTAATTTGATTTTTTATTATTATTTTAAATACAGAGATAATAATTTATGTTTGTATTAATGTATACAAATTACAAGCCGTTTATAAATTAGGTTTAATTCATTTAAATTGCTCTCTTTGTTGGTCAGAACTAGAACTGAAGTAGAACTGAACTAGAACTGAACTAGAACTGAAGTAGAACTGAACTAGAACTGAACTAAAACTGAACTAGAACTGAACTAGAACTGAAGTAGAACTGAACTAGAACTGAACTAGAACTGAACTAGAACTGAACTAGAACTGAACTAGAACTGAACTAGAACTGAACTAGAACTGAACTAGAACTGAACTAGAACTGAACTTGAACTGAACTAGAACTGAACTAGAACTGAACTAGAACTGGACTAGAACTGAACTAGAACTGAACTAGAACTGAACTAGAACTGAACTAGAACTGAACTAGAACTGAACTAGAACTGAACAAGAACTGAACTAGAACTGAACTAGAACTGAACTAGAACTGAACTAGAACTGAACTAGAACTGAACTAGAACTGAACTAGAACTGAACTAGAACTGAACTAGAACTGAACTAGAACTAGAACTGAACTAGAACTGAACTAGAACTGAACTAGAACTGAACTAGAACTGAACTAGAACTGAACTAGAACTGAACTAGAACTGAACTAGAACTGAACTAGAACTGAACTAGAACTGAACTAGAACTGAACTAGAACTGAACTAGAACTGAACTAGAACTGAACTAGAACTGAACTAGAACTGAACTAGAACTGAACTAGAACTGAACTAGAACTGAACTAGAACTGAACTAGAACTGAACTAGAACTGAACTAGAACTGAACTAGAACTGAACTAGAACTGAACTGAACTAGAACTGAACTAGAACTGAACTAGAACTGAACTAGAACTGAACTAGAACTGAACTAGAACTGAACTAGAACTGAACTAGAACTGAACTAGAAACTGAATTAGAACTGAACTAGAACTGAACTAGAACTGAACTAGAACTGAAGCTAGAACTGAACTAGAACTGAACTAGAACTGAACTAGAACTGAACTAGATCTGAACTAGAACTGAACTAGAACTGAACTAGAACTGAACTAGAACTGAACTAGAACTGAACTAGAACTGAACTAGAACTGAAACTAGAACTGAACTAGAACTGAACTAGAACTGAACTAGAACTGAACTAGAACTGAACTAGAACTGAACTAGAACTGAACTAGAACTGAACTAGAACTGAACTAGAATTGAACTAGAATGAACTAGAACTGAACTAGAACTGAACTAGAACTGAACTAGAACTGAAACTAGAACTGAACTAGAACTGAACTAGAACTAGAAACTGAACTAGAACTGAACTGAACTAGAACTGAACTATAACTGAAGAAAAAAACTAAATTTTCATTAAAGTTCCATAATTATATTTCATTTACTTAAAGTTTATATTCTGAATACATACTAATTAATGATTTTTTCTTTTATTTTTAGGTAAGTGTCCGCATATGATGAAACTTTTACTTAAAATAACGAAAACAGTAAGTAAATCTACAAAAATAATTAAATTTGTATAAATTTTCATGACATCCTGATGAATACATTAGATCTGTTATCAAAAAGGGAAATAAAACTTAATGGGATGAGAAGGCAATATTTTATCAGAACTATATTTGTTTTAAATCTCAACATTTAATTTGTTCTACTTTTAAATTTACAGTTAAATTTATTATAGATAAATTAATTTGCTTGTTTTTCTGCAACAAATTTCTCTTCCGTTAAAAAGGGCTGTTTTTGATTGAAATCATTGCAAATCCATAATTTATTCCAAACATTGCGTGTTATATTTATGAACATCGAAAATCATGATTTGTTCATTCAAATACATCCATCCATCCATACATTGTTGTAGGGGCACTATCATTTTTCATTTTCAAAACTAATTGAGGCGAAAGAAAAAAGGGGTTATAAGCCAAAACTTACAATAAACATGATTCAAATAATGTCAAGATAAAATTCAATTGTTTTGCACTTTTTATTTAAACTCCATTGAAAGATTTTATAATAAACAACACAACTTCCAATTTAACGAATTGGAAGCATAAAAGGAAGTAGAGATATGTTATATGTCGTGAGTTTATTGAACAATCTCTTCAAACATTATTTCAATGAAAATCTTAAGCCCTTTTCCACTTAGTCTGCATTTATTTCGTTTTTACAAAAATATCTTAACGAGTTTAAACAAACAGTTTAGGTCTACCATGTGTTATAATTTTTGTTGTTGTTATTGCTTTTGTAGTGTTTGTTTTAAATCAGACAACAGACACATTTATTGATAAACAGGTACGAAGAAAACATGAACAGGAAAGAAACTAAAATAAAACGCCAACAACAAGAGAAGAGAAAATCGTTTGAACCAAGATATCGTTGCCTTTAGCAAAACGATGAGGCACAGTAGGTCGGAAAGCCAGAAAATTCTTGTGAAAATATTTTAGGTCTTAGTTAGAGCTACAACAGAAATAGAATAGAACTGGAACTTGAACAGAACTAGAACAAAGCTAGAACGAAACTAGAACAGAATTAGAACAGAACAGAACTAGAACAGAACTAAAACAGAACTAAAACAGAACTAGAACAGAATTAGAACAGAACAGAACTAGAACAGAACTAGAACAGAACTAGAACAGAACTAGAACAGAACTAGAACAGAACTAGAACAGAACTAGAACAGAACTAGAACAGAACTAGAACTAGAACAGAACTAGAACAGAACTAGAACAGAACTGGAACAGAACTAGAACAGAACTAGAACAGAACTAGAACAGAACTAGAACAGAACTAGAACAGAACTAGAACAGAACTAGAACAGAACTAGAACAGAACTAGAACAGAACTAGAACAGAACTAGAACAGAACTAGAACAGAACTAGAACAGAACTAGAACAGAACTAGAACAGAACTAGAACAGAACTAGAACAGAACTAGAACAGAACTAGAACAGAACTAGAACAGAACTAGAACAGAACTAGAACAGAACTAGAACAGAACTAGAACAGAACTAGAACAGAACTAGAACAGAACTAGAACAGAACTAGAACAGAACTAGAACAGAACTAGAACAGAACTAGAACAGAACTAGAACAGAACTAGAACAGAACTAGAACAGAACTAGAACAGAACTAGAACAGAACTAGAACAGAACTAGAACAGAACTAGAACAGAACTAGAACAGAACTAGAACAGAACTAGAACAGAACTAGAACAGAACTAGAACAGAACTAGAACAGAACTAGAACAGAACTAGAACAGAACTAGAACAGAACTAGAACAGAACTAGAACAGAACTAGAACAGAACTAGAACAGAACTAGAACAGAACTAGAACAGAACTAGAACAGAACTAGAACAGAACTGAACAGAGCTAGAACAGAACTAGAACAGAACTGTTCTAGACCCAGTAAGAGAACAGAGCTAGAACAGAACTAGAACAGAACTAGAACAGAAACTAGAACAGAACTAGAACAGAATTAGAACAGAACTAGAACAGAACTAGAACAGAACTAGAACAGAACTAGAACAGAACTAGAACAGAACTAGAACAGAACTAGAACAGAACTAGAACAGAACTAGAACAGAACTAGAACAGAACTAGAACAGAACTAGAACAGAACTAGAACAGAACTAGAACAGAACTAGACAGAACTAGAACAGAACTAGAACAGAACTAGAACAGAACTAGAACAGAACTAGAACAGAACTAGAACAGAACTAGAACAGAACTAGAACAGAACTAGAAGAACTAGAACAGAACTAGAACAGAACTAGAACAGAACTAGAACAGAACTAGAACAGAACTAGAACAGAACTAGAACAGAACTAGAACAGAACTAGAACAGAACTAGAACAGAACTAGAACAGAACTAGAACAGAACTAGAACAGAACTAGAACAGAACTAGAACAGAACTAGAACAGAAAGAACTAGAACAGAACTAGAACGAACTAGAACAGAACTAGAACAGAACTAGAAACAGAACTAGAACAGAACTAGAACAGAACTAGAACAGAACTAGAACAGAACTAGAACAGAACTAGAACAGAACTAGAACAGAACTAGAACTAGAACAGAACTAGAACAGAACTAGAACAGAACTAGAACAGAACTAGAACAGAACTAGAACAGAACTAGAACAGAACTAGAACAGAACTAGAACAGAACTAGGACAGAACTAGAACAAATTCTTCAAATATTTTTACCATTTTCAACCCCACTGTGCCTTAAACATCATCATCAAACACCATAATCATTATAATGCAGATGATGATAATGATATTGATGTTGTTGTGATATTGATGATGATCGTTTTTTGTCATCAGACGTTTGTGTAGAGTGTATGTTTGTGTGTGGTGGCTTTAAATACGACTCAGTCTAACAGTCTGTCTGTCCATCCGTCCGTCCTTTCATCCGTCTCTCAATTTCTTCTCTGTCTGCACGTCTGCTAGATGTCTTGACTTTATAGTGGCTTTAACCGGCCACTTTAAATGTAAGTATCTATAAGTATATATTTCTTCTTGCTATTTTTTTTTTTCACTCCCTGTTACGGTGTTAAGCGAAATGGCGTGTAATCGAAACCACATCATTGATTTCCTGTGTTAGTTTAAACGTCCAAGACAAAATATTTGAAAATGAAATGCCTGCTTGTTTGTTCTTGTTAAGAAAATTGAAAAAAAAAATCTTGGCTTAAATAATATCTATTGAGAAGAAAATCATCATTTTCTCCTCTACTGCTTGCGGCGACGACGACAACGACGGCATACTAGAAATTCTAGTCTTGAAATAGAATAGAAAATAAAATACTTGAAATACAAAAACACAATAGTATGCAGTGGCGGCGATATCAGTACTTTTACTTCTCTTAATCATCATAACTATATAAAAAAATTTCAAGTGACTTTAATAGATCCTACTTGCTATACATGAGGGCTTCTATAGAAGTATTACTGTTTGAAAGATGTTCAATACTTTATATTTAATTTGTTTAAGGGGAAGAAGGGGTAATAATGAATAGGACAGGTACGTTTAAACATTTTCTGATTAATAGTAAAAAATTTAAAATAATGCTTTTTCTAGACCCAGAAAGAGAACAGAACTAGAACAGAACTAGAACGGAACTAGAACAGAACTAGAAAGAACTAGAAAGAACTAGAACAGAACTAGAACAGAACTAGAACAGAACTAGAACAGAACTAGAACAGAACTAGAACAGAACTAGAACAGAACTAGAACAGAACTAGAACAGAACTAGAACAGAACTAGAACAGAGCTAGAACAGAACTAGAACAGAACAGAACTAGAACAGAACTTGAACAGAACTAGAACGGAACTAGAACAGAACTAGAAGTAGAACAGAACTAGAACAGAACTAGAACAGAACTAGAACAGAACTAGAACAGAACTAGAACAGAACTAGAACAGAACTAGAACAGAACTAGAACAGAACTAGAACAGAACTAGAACAGAACTAGAACAGAACTAGAACAGAACTAGAACAGAACTAGAACAGAACTAGAACAGAACTAGAACAGAACTAGAACAGAACTAGAACAGAACTAGAACAGAACTAGAACAGAACTAGAACAGAATTAGAACAGAACTAGAACAGAACTAGAACAGAACTAGAACAGAACTAGAACAGAACTAGAACAGAACTAGAACAGAACTAGAACAGAACTAGAACAGAACTAGAACAGAACTAGAACAGAACTAGAACAGAACTAGAACAGAACTAGAACAAAACTAGAACAGAACTAGAACAGAACTAGAACAGAACTAGAACAGAACTAGAACAGAACTAGAACAGAACTAGAAAGACCTAGAACAGAACTAGAACAGAGCTAGAACAGAACTAGAACAGAACTAGAACAGAACTGTTCTAGACCCAGAAAGAGAACAGACTAGAACAGAACTAGAATAGAACTTGAACAGAACTAGACAGAACTAGAACAGAACTAGAACAGAACTAGAACAGAACTAGAACAGAACTAGAACAGAACTAGAACAGAACTAGAACAGAACTAGAACAGAACTAGAACAGAACTAGAACAGAACTAGAACAGAACTAGAACAGAACTAGAACAGAACTAGAACAGAACTAGAACAGAACTAGAACAGAACAGAACTAGAACAGAACTAGAACAGAACTAGAACAGAACTAGAACAGACTAGAACAGAACTAGTACAGAACTAGAACAGAACTAGAACAGAACTAGAACAGAACTAGAACAGAACTAGAACAGAACTAGAACAGAACTAGAACAGAACTAGAACAGAACTAGAACAGAACAGAACAGAACAGAACAGAACTAGAACAGAACTAGAACTAGAACAGAACTAGAACAGAACTAGAACAGAACTAGAACAGAACTAGAACAGAACTAGAACAGAACTTAGAACAGAACTAGAACAGAACTAGAACAGAACTAGAACAGAACTAGAACAGAACTAGAACAGAACTAGAA